AAAACCCTTACCCTGGATTATGATCGAGTAAATTGCCCTTGTCAGCCTACAACTCTACAGTTTGGGTTGCTTCACTGGGGTTGCCACTTTCATCCTCGAAGGAACATAAGCAGTCAGATAACCAAACCGTCAGTTACCTAAGTGCAATAATGCCGTTTCGAAAGCCCCTTTGATGGCATCTAAGCAGCTCGCATTAGAACAAAGCCTATTCCATTCCTACTCTATTCTGGGCAAAATGTAACTTCTAATTTCATTCCCATTCCATTCCAGTGCTGCCACCATTTTATTTGCATTCGATTCCAGGGTTGTGGAAGTGCGGAATCGTTCCAACTCTGGAGTGGCAACTCCTCAACACTGGTGATAGTCACCAAGGCACCCAGTTCAGTGTGAATGCTGTCCTCACAGCCCATCCAAAGCTGTTATTACTGTAACAAACTCCAGTACGACGAAGTAGTTGAATTCGGAAGCCTGTTGTGCAGATTTGTACCTTGCATTGTTTCCGGTATTTTTTATTTCTTTTGTATTTTATAATGGACAACAACCGTTGTAATCTCGGTATTGTTGCCAAACCTGAAGGTTTTATCATCGGTGCACTTTTAAATAAATACATATATGCCACAGCCGCAGCTCACCGATGAGCACTTACACTGCGACTTAGGTGTTTCGTAAGTATTCATTTTGATTGTGCGATAATGATGTTTGTCTTCTGTTAGAATTAAAAAAACCAAAACAATATTCAACATGATGGATAATTTTGGACACCCGCGGCATGTGTGATCTGAGCATTTGTTCTTTTCATCTGAAGTGTGTCTCTTGCTTACTACCTATAGAGTATACAATGTTGTGGACGGAAAAGATGCTGCGACCGACTCCGAGCAATAAAAACATTCTGTTTATTCTCATGTCGTTGAGCTCGTGGTGACGAGTGTGAGTAGCACTGTCATCTTTGGCGATGCCAAGGCTGAACCGATAGACTGCCGCAGAGCTATCGCCCTCAGCTCTGCACTGTGAGGAATGGCACGATTTTGTTGAAGTGATTGCGGCTCCAGAGAGGTGTCGTTGCTGTTGACATGTACCGCAAGCAGGATGACATATTAGAGAGCAGGAAAGACAGCGTTTGGAAGCCGTGCATGGTAGTTGATGCCGAGGTCAGGAAATGAGGCAGCAGACGGGGGAAATCGACCCTGTCGTGCTTTCAGTCTGGCTCGATCAGTTTGGAGTGTACAGCCTCGGACTGAAAGGGGGATGCCGGCCGACTGCGGGGCCGATGCAACATCCCCTAAGATGAGGAACCGAACTGAGAGCGAATGCCTGACATGGCAACGATGAGGAGACCCTGGTCGGTTAGCAACATGCCTTGTGAACAGTGTGAAGATGTCGATGAATATTCACTTGCCAAGCCGGTGGGGCAAACAAGGTGGTCGCAGCCCATTGCTGGGAGATGCCGGTGCCAGATGCGACAGAGCAGAGGTGGTTGCGGAGGCGCTGCAGATGTGGAGGCTGAGAAAGTTGAATATGTGCCTACTGCATTTTCGTCCGAAAAGGCAGAGCCATTGCCGTGCCCTTGGCCACGAAGAACATTCCCCTGGATAGCAGGTGCTCGGAGTCAATCATCATGTCCAGGTCACCAATCTGTAGCACTTTCAATCTTGAGGACGGAAGAGACGGTGCAACAGACTCTGAGTTTAACTGTGAAAACATTCTCTTTATTCTCGTACCGTCAAGCTCGTTCCGACGAGTAGCTTGCTTTTATACACTGCAGTCATTAGCATTATAGTTGATCTAAGTATTTTGCAACACTATTAATACGGCAGATTGGGCGAGTTGGTACGGCATATAATTACGAACCAGCGCACAGGTAGACCAGTTACTCAAAATCCAAATACACAAAAATATACACTCGCACAGCGCTGATGTGAGTTTTTTGTGTTTGGATTTTTGGTAACTGTCTGCCTGTGCGCTGGTTCGTAATATTGCAACACTGCCGTCTTTAGGCGGTGTGGAGGCTGAACCGATGGACCGCCAGAGGCCCATATCTGTATCTGTTTCATATACTGAATGCCTTTTTGCACGGCTCTGTGTTTACTTTTGTCTTCCAGATTTTTACTGCTCACTTGTTTTTTTAATTTTATTTAGAGGATATTACTGGCCATTGAAGGCCCAAGTAGGAGTGGGGTACAACATATGCATTCACACACCTACAACAACAAACAAATAACACGACATTAAGAGGTTTACAACAACTAACCAGCAAATATACAGGATATATATATTTAAAAAGGGGGGGGGGCGGCACAGCATGCATCAAGCAGCATGTAATTCAATCATTTGTAATAATAGATGTGAAATTTAAAACTCATTTAAGATTGAACATTATCAAACAAATGTGAATTTAATTAAGCTATAAATTTTATATAGACTGTTACTTTTTATACAATTTTGTCTAGATTTGTCAGGATACAATCTGCAAGTACGCATAAAGTAACTGGAAAGTTGAAAGAAGCAAATTAGAGATTGCAAAACCTACTTCTCAATAGATATTTTTTTCCCAAAGTATTTACGTGATAGTGCAGCTGAAATAAGGCTCCTTTTTCAGTTTTTTTTTATTTGAAACACCTTAAAAATACATTGTTTTCTAAGATTTTTTTTTTATTATTATGCTTGGAAAATTAAGTTACCGATTGTGTTCAGTTTATTCTAAACTATTTATATGAAATTCCAGAGTGCTTTTGTGCATAACAGTGGCTAGATAAGGTTTTTATAATTTCTGATAAAACAAACTGACTAGTTTCTCTTTAGTGACCGTTTCGCCAAGGTGACAGCAGAACAAGTAACGGATCCCGACGTCAAACTGCAGGAATTTGAGATATATGTTTTCTTAGCGAATGCACGCCACTGTTGTGACATATTTGAATATCCTTATCGCTTGCTTGGGCTCAGCGGGTAATGCAGGTCGGCACTAGGCTGAACTGCATAAAGCGATTTAGCGAGCGACGGCGACAGCGACGAGTCAGCGACGTATTACGAAGATTTCTTACTATCGCTCGTCGCGTCACTCGGTTTTTGGATTTCTAGAAAACACCGTTCCGCTTTCATGCGGCTTGCGTCGTCGCGCGAGTGACCGAGCGTCAGCGAAGCGGGTCGCCGTCGCTGTTCTCGTCACTCGCAAAATCGTTTACATTCGGTTTATACTTCACGCTGTCAATAATATCGACTCAAGCACGGATAATTTCATTTCCACGGGAGCGCGTGTAAATCAAACCCTAAACCAAGACGGGGGCTGCAGCCAGCAGCTTTGAGAGCGTCATACAATGGATTATAGTTTGACAGAAGCAAGCACATACTTCGCTAGCGCATTACAGCCTTGAGCGCTCGAACTTCCGAAAACGAAACCAGATTTTGCTACATTTGGCTAGCTCGAAACATTTTTTTTAAAATATAGGGTGTCTTTTAGCTATAATCTAGACTAAGAGAAATGTGTACCTTCCCAAATTATATTTATGTCGCCGTACTATATAAGTAATAATTGTGTAATATCGTTACGTTCATATAAAATACGGGGGGTGTCACCGGACCTTCGTCTGAAACAAAAAGTCCGCTATATATACCGAGCGGGTTTCTATTATAATTGAGTAGGAGTGTCGGGTTGTTAGTGCCTCTGTTCGTTGTTTGTGTATGTAGGTGCTTGTATGTTGATCTTGTGGTATGTGCTGTGATATATGTGTTGATGCTGCCGTCCGTGTTCGATCGTGTCACTTCCACAAACGCTAAAATGTCCTTCATTTTTTGTATTTTTCCGCATACTCACTAGGTGGCGCAAGCAGCCGCCCAATTTTATTTTAGCTTTGTTTGTACGTAGTCCATTTATGTGTAAGGAACCACACCACATAGCTACCGTCTAGTAGAAAAGTAACCGCGTGTTTAAATGGCGCATAGCGCCGGCGTTCAGTTCGTCTTCGTTCGCTGGCCGTTTCGGTAGCCGATTCGTACCCGGAAAGCCGCAAAATTTGCGTACACACGAGATATGAGTGGATACGTCGAAACGTCGCGTACAACTTTGCTCGCGGTAAAGAGGTGAGCGGGACGTCGGTAACGCCGGTCGGGTAGGGTCGGGTCGGGTCGGTGTCGGAGCTATTCGTCGTCGCTCGCGGCAAACGGGCTTTTTCAATAAAGTTCATGTCTGTGGTCGCGAAAAGATAACTGCTGTGGAAATTACCCGGCGTCGGTGACGATGCAACCGGCTTGAGGCCTCGGCGATGGGCTGAACCGCCACGCGATCGAGACCTGCTCGATGGGGAAGCACGCTGCTGGATGCAGTCGATGGTCGCTCCCACTGTCGCGTAATCGCCGTAATGGATACGGCGTCGGCGCTTGGGGGTGAATGCTTGCGGTAGTTCAGCACGTATGGACGATTACGAACGAACACGTGCAAACTACGCTTTCGCTGCGGCGAAAAGCCGTGTAAAGCGCTGGGCCTCGCTCGTCGAACCCGTCTTGCGTCAAACGGCCGCCATTGTAAAAAAAACACCCCAGACGTGTGATCGCAGAACGAAGTACACGTTCAAAGATGTTCATTTTACACGAGACCCCGGGTGCAAACGAAATACACCGAGCCTCGCGTGTAAAACGAACACCATTTGGGGAGTCCGCCCTGGGACAACGGTTTACACGTCCAGGGGTGTACTTTTTCGCTGTGTGTGTATCTAATTTATTTGGCAAGCTTTTTTTTTTTGCCGTACACAGGTGGACCGAACAAACGCAGCTGCACTTGGCAATTGTGTGCTTTATTGTCCGTTTTTTTGTTACTTTTAATTTATTTCTCGAGGGGTTTTAACAATGATCACAGTTGACAGTTTCCGTCATGACGGCGGAAATGAAGAATGTTACAATTGCCCACGTGATTCTTACGCTATGTGACGAAGGTATGAAATCACCAATTCGCTCAAATGCGAAGCAGTTTGCGCAGAAACTTCATTCCATAAAGAATGCCAATGGAAGCAATGAAGCTCCTGCTGATTGCCGTCGTTATTTCTATTCACACAACAGGTACGTAGTACATCTTGTATCATTTCGCAGATGCTTCGGTTGTACTGAGCCTTAATTTTGAACTGGAATGGGTGCCAAAGAATCGGTACAACCTTGCAATTTTTTTTTTGTGAGCCATTATTCTTGTAACATTTGATGTTAAATCAAAGTAGCGAGCTGGACGAGTAGGCTCTTGGAACCTGATTTGTTTATTTTTCGTTTTCCCTTGTTTTCTCTTTTTTATATTTAATTTATAACCCTAATACTGAAGCGTATGGACACTTACTGTTCAAAAACCTAATTTGTTGTCATTTATTTATTCGGTGGGTTTATTTGAAATCAAATACCTGTGTTGGGGTGGGTACGATGATTTCCATGGCTATTTTCATCCCCGCTGTTTCGGTTGTGATGGGCATTAATTTTAATGTGGAATGGCTGTCGAATGAAAGGCATAGCTTTGTAATTTTTGTCAACCATTACTCTGGTAACATTTGATGTTGAATCAAAGCAGCGATGAGGATTCGTTCGTTCTTGTAACTTGTTTTGTTTACTATCTACTTTTTCCTCGTCTTTTTGTCGTTTCTATGTGTTTCACCAGCATGATATTAATCCGTCTGGTCATTTCTAGTTCAGGACATAATACCCTGTGACTTAATTAGCATATGTTATAATTGAACCATGTATGTCGTCAAGCATTCTAACTGAATGTGGTACCATTTCAGTGCCATACAGATATCTTTGTCAGGACAAAGGTCGTTTTTTTACTTAGTTTCTGCCCTTTTACGTTTACCGACACGCACAATCACATTTACAACATAATTTATGGAAAATCATTCTGCCACTAAATGAACAAGCTGACTTTGAATAAAAGTTGTTTAATTCATTTTTATTGCCATGAAGATGAATAGAGTTTGTTAAAACATTAGAACTGGAATGAGGATCTACCCCTATACTCTCCTCGGCACAAAAGCGTCATAAGGTTCAGATGTAAAAAAAAGCATAGTACAGCACCAAATATTTTATTATTCCTTATTGAGAATTTTTTTTATGTACCGGTATTACCGAGGTCTCATAATTTAACATAAGACCCATATAAAACAATATAACTCAAGGTGTGTGCTCAAATTACTTTGCAATCTAGATAATTGCACATAATTATCCTATACTATACATATATTATGCGCAACAGTCAAATAAATGTCGGCTGAAGTGCGCCAGATTTATATACTTCAGATATGACTCTGCGGCAAAAGACAGGCAAGGTATGGCAAACGAGCATGGCCAGAAATCAAATTGACTTGTTCATGGTTAATTGAAAAGGAAAATTATAAATGATGCCATACGATCCTTTCATTTGGTGATCTAGAGTTATGATTGGCACAAAAAATAAAATTAAAATAAAGCTCCGATTTAAATGTGCATCAAGACATTGAGTGGAGCGCACCCTTTTTGGGGTGGTGCCTCTTTCGCAGATTTTATCCTGCAACAGACTTTATGCAAAAGCAAAAGTTTTTAAAAATGTAAGAAAGTAATTTTCTCTTTGCACCATTTGCCGAGTCCCCGCCCTTTAACTATACGTGTAGCATGTTTCTTCTATAAAGGACAATGCATTTTAGAGCCCAGCACTTAGGCGCCCGTTTCCGGCTTGAGCGCCGTCGTTCAAGACGTCATCAGTGACATTACTGATCACGCCATCGACATCCGCATCGTCATCGTCACTGATGACGTCATTGGCATCGTCACATCGTCATTGTCACTGATGAGGTCACTAGTGATGATGGCGTCATCAGCGACGTCACTGATGACGTCACCGGCATTCGCATCGTCATCGTCCTTGTCACTGATGACGCCAGTAGTGATGATGACGTCATCAGTGACGTCACTAATTGCGTCATCATCACGTGACCTCTAGGGGTCATGTGACCCCCTTGAGGTCGCGTGACCCCGGTGACGTCACATGACCCCCTTGAAATCACGTAACCCTCGTGAGGCGACAGCGACGCCGCTCGGAGGGATGAGTAGCAGACAGGATGAGGACGTGAGGAAGGAGGGAGGAGGGATATACCTTCCCCTGAGTACCCTTCCTCCCTCCTCCTCCTCCTCCTCAAGAGCTGCGCTCTAATTTGGCGTCACTGGGAGTTGTAAACGGCTTTCATTCTATTTGATCCCAAGTTTACCAAATATTTTCAGATATTTACTTTATCTTTATGACTTTTTTTCCTTCTTCTAATTTTAATTCCGTATAATTGTTGGTTTTCATTTTCTTCAATTGAGCTAGACTTTTAAATTGTGTGCCTCCCCAGAATGCAACACTTCATTTTACATTAACTCTGTAAAGACTTAGTCATCTACACTTTAAATACTGGGAGCATTAACTTCTTCACTATAATTCCTAAAATATTAAACGTGGGGCCGCTAGTGATTTTATTAAGCTTATAAAGTCCAGGGGCCCTAAACTCGTCAAACTCAAAGTCAGGGCCGAAGTTCACGGAGCGCACTGATTGGGCTATCATGATGATGATCCTGCGCTTTTGCCGCCGGCGCCCAATTGGAACACTCTGCAAACTTTCGGTTCCAACTTTGTGTTTGGCGAGTGTAGAGCCCAGGATGTGTATAAAAGTAAATGGGTACAGAACTGCCTTTGGATCTTTTTTAAACTTGCAATAATCGGGATAGAGAACTAGTAAGTTTATCCCAAAATATCTCAAAAGAGGAGACCAAAACAACAATGGTGCCTTTGATTTTTATCCAACAAAATGTGACAAGGATGTTTTCTGAAACTCAATTAACGACAAAAAATGTATGGAAATTTAAGACATTAGTAAGTTAAAAATAAATAACTTCATCGTGCTTTGCCAAAAAAAAAAAATCTCCAGTTTGCAGCATTGAAGCTTGGAATGAAGACCTGCCAGACGCAGAATTCATAATCGTCCCCAGCAAATCCAAAAACATGTTATAAAAGAAAAAGATACTGAAAAAAAAAGTTACTACACTCCGTCTCATCCTGGATGGACTGAAGCCCAATGCTAGAGGCCGCCAGGTCCAATCACGAGTTCGTTAAAAACCACGTGGTATATTTGCTCCGTCGTACGTATCAGTGCTCCAAAACGCGTCATGCGGAGGGCTATGCGTCGGATGCGTCGGAGAGCTATGCGCAGAGAAATTGAGATAGAACAGGTGACGAGAGCGCGTGAAGACGTCAGAACGCCGACGTCTGATTGGAAGGATTAGGGGATAGACGTGACGCTAGCTCCCTTTGTGCATATTTATTTTTCGAACATGTTGGAACGCGAACTCAGAACGTAAGACGCCAGCGTTCGGCAATCCAACGCCTTCAGAGTATGAGTAGAAATGAAGGCAGCTAGCTTTGCGTCTACCCACTAATCATTCCAGTCAGAGCTCGACGATCTCACGTCCCCGCACGCTCTCGCCCTTTCCCCTCCATCAGTTTCTCGGCGCAGAATCAGACAGCTCAAGAGACGCCGAATGTGGCATATTATGTTATAAATATCACAATCCTGAGAATCCAGAACTCAAAAGACCATACGCACACATAACACACAATCACACACACACACACACACACGCACGCACGCACGGAAACACAGACACGCACCCATGCAAACAAAGTCTCAGACTGGGCTCGTGTTGTGTTTGGCTTTAGGTCTAACCTTCATTAGCTTGTTTGCAGCCTGACTTTCTGTTCCATTATGTTCACGCTTTTTGCTTCACAGTTTGTTCTTCGGCATATAATCCGCCGAATGCCGCAATCTCAATGGTTGCGGAGCGATAATCGGATGCTATAGGAACTCGTCACACCCCGCGTTTCTGAACATGTCAGTTCCTATTACGTTAAGAACGACGGGGCTTATGACGGTTCGTTTCAGTAATGTGTTGTTTTATGTCTACGTATATATAATTAAGGCTAGTTAATCTCTTATATGGTTGATGTTACAGGGCTCTTGACAACAGCAGAACCGAAATGTGAACCCCGGTACAATGGCGGTTATGGAGGTGGCAGAGGAGGAAACGTTATACCAAACTGGACTTTTAATCCCCGAACCAATCACTGCGAAGCAATTATGACGAAAGGGCGCTGTCATTCTTCGCAGAACTGCTTTCCATCTGAGGACGAGTGTGAATTCGAATGCGGTAAGTGTCATCGCCGTTGCTTAAATGCGTGGCATATTTTAGTTATATGCGGTACATCCAACTGGAACTGTGTCAGAGAAAAGCTATATGAGCATGAGCTCGAGATTACGGAAGACTCTAAAAGGTCGCCAGATTTATCAGCCCGATAAGAGGTGGTATATCGTTTCATTTTAAGAACAACTCTCAAGTGCACACATGGTACCCTTTAAACAATAAGATGAAGAGCGCCGTGAAGGTAGGCGTCTGGCGTTTGGAAACTCCGAGTATCGCGAAACGTTTGGGACGCTAGAACGTTTCACGTATGTAACACAATTAATTGCCTAGCAATTTCACGTAATATTGTTTAACCCTGGAGAGTGGGGAAACAGGACAGCACAACAAAACTCTAACTGTGTGGAGATTCGTGTTGTCCTGCCTTTCTATTTTCCCACTTTCCAGCGTTCAAAAAAAGTCAGTTCTTAATACATATAATACAAAAACACTAAGAAATAAATATAATTTCTGTCGATCTTGAAGAAGGCGTAAGCTGATACTTTACACCAGTTCAACAGCCGGATACCATTTTATTAAAAAAAGAATTTGGGGCAATGTTATATTAAGATTACAGCTATATTTTTTTTTCGATTTGTATCGTACAGAAGTGTGCGGAAATAGTAATTCTGATTTTTTTTTTTTTTTTCAGATCCAGAGACGCAGTTGTTTAAGGAAATCCTTCAAGGTTGATAAGAGGAGGGCGTTTATCTAGTTCGGTCAAACGAGCAGATTTATGCATATAATGGTTATACACTATTTATTATAAGGGAAATTAAAAAATTAAGTGTCAGAGCTCTTTGAAAAGATGCTTTTTTTCCACCTTGAATAAGCCCGTTCTTTTTTTTTTTGTTTGTTTGTTTGCGCTTTACGCACTGGTGCGCTTTATTAATAAGGAAAAGTAAACTCTAACTAGAATCCTGCGTCAGGCTGCTTTGTTCAACTGCACACCATTCGCCCTGAAGGGCTCGATTAAACTCATAATTTATGATGAGACATCCATACATTATGTCATAAATCATCTCCATCTTGGGAATTTCTCCTAAATGATTACATATAAATAATGCCGGACATTAATTCGTTTTGTGTTCTTAAATTTATACAATGGTGGCAGTTGCTAAAGTTGAAGCTTGTGCGGGTTGGCTCGACGTGCATGAGAATTAAAGCTGCCCAAAAGACGAAAGACCAGATAAAGAAAGCGGACTCAGCGCTGTTTCGGTATCGTTCTTCATCCTGTCCGTCCTCATTTGTGCTTTTTTAATTTGCAGCTGGTAACTTTCTTTTAATCTACTAGCGGTTCTGGCATAGAAACTCGGGCCTGGAGCCTCCACTTCCCTTACAGAAGAACCGGCGCGCGAAAGTGTGTTTAATTTGGGTAAAAATATTGACTTGAAGATTAAACATATTCGAAAGAAGTTAGTTTAAGTGGGTAAATTTTTGATTAAAAATAAAATTTCAACGAGTCTCTAACACGCGGGCAGCTCGGCTTCTTCAAGGGTGACTGTATCCGTTGAGGAGCATATGTGGAATGGAAAGAAGACAGCTGGTTCCTCAACGCGGTTTCCCTCGGAAAAAGAAAAAATCGCGTTGGCTTTATAACATTTGTCTCCTTTTACAATGAAGGATTGGTTATAAGTTTGTCGTTTTCCTCATAAATACTATGTTGCCCTGTAACAAGAAACTACAAAAAACAACGTATTTGAAAGCCATTAATGGCATGAAGAACAGGGGCAGTTGTATGATATACACAGGGTGAGAACGCACTTCCTTGCCATAGACGCTTTATGCCAACTAAAGAGGTGCAGTCTCTGGAGCTTATGGAATAACATTTGATATAATAGATTATAATGTAGCAATTTGAAATATTTGTGCCGCTAGATATATTAACCCAGTTTTTAACCAAATTATTCACGAAGACCATAGTAACCGACAGGGTAACTAAAACGTAAAGCGTAGCCTATTTTGTTCATGCTTCTCGCCTCGTCATCTTTAGCCTTCTTCTAGGGAAATTCCGGTATCTCATAGGGTCGCAGAGCAATGACAAGTTGCTCTGGACTCTCTACGCCATGTTTATTTTAAGCTGTCCGTGACAATATAAATCGATATTCATAGTGGATGCTCTATAGAAGGGTGAGACGTTCGGTGATCGCTGAAAATTGTACGGCTAGTAGGATATCAACAGTTTCAAATTGATAGCGAGCATTTCAGTCGTGATGAGATACACCAATCTGGCTTCCTGCGCTTCCGTATGGCAAAACCAGCTTTGTGTAAATGTCTGGTTTCCTGGATATAAAATATGCTCAGGAGTCTTGCATAAAGTGGACCTTGCAAAAATGGGCATGTAGTTTTGAAACATCTTTCTGGCATGCCGTCAACAATGCCGGCTGTTGTCGTCTCGTTACGCAAACACACACACGCACACACACACACGCACAAACGCGCCTGATCTTTGAGCCACCGGAGCCCGTCCGGCTCCAGGATAGGGCCACAGGTCTGTCAATCGTAGGACAAAAACTAGCACCACGGATGTCCAATGCCGTAATTCTCAACCAATCGAGCCTTAATTCACAAGTGCAGACCACGTCACAAGACTGCTTACAGAGAGAGCCCCTGAAGTCGTCGGAGCAGCCACCTGGGCAAGCCTTTGCCCAAGAAACTCCACGTTTGCCTTTCAATAGTCCCAATGCCGAGCTGTCAGCCCAGATAGCCGGTACTGTTGCTAACGTCATTCACGCTGATCTTCCGCCAGCCCTCCTTGGAGATCAGTTATCTTTCAGTCAAAATATTGTCATTGCCGACGTTTTGACACAGCAGAATGGAGTCTTCACCCGTCAAGAGGATGACAGGCTATTTTACAGGCATGCATCATCGCATTGACCTGTTACCAAACGCCTTACCCTACAGCCGTAACCCATACCGATATGCTCCCGAAGACAGACAGTTCCTGGAAAAACAGATAAAGAAACTCGTGTACCAAGGTGTTATTGTTCCAGCATCTGGCCCATGGGCTTTTCCCGCGGTCGTAGTGTCTCGCAGATATAAGAAACGTTTGTGTGTTAACTACGCACCACTCAATGAACGCACGATCACAGTGGTGCACCCCCTGCCTCTTGTGGATGATATCATCCATGACATCGCTGGATGCGCGTACTTCGCTACCATGGGCTTGAAAAGTGCATACTGGCAAGTCAGCCTCCGCCCCCAGGACTATGAAAAGACAGCTTTCAGCACTCACCACGGCACATACATGTGGACTCGGATGCCGTTTGGTTTGAAAAATGCGCCATCCACAATCCAACGTATCATGCAGACAGTCTTTCAAGATCTGAAGCCCCGCCACGACAGGTCTGGTATTCGTGTATATCTTGATGATATTATTATCTATGCTCAGTCGTTCGACACTTTTGCGCAACTTCTTCGTGAAGCCCTCCAATTGCTTCTGGACAATGGACTTAAGGCCTCGTTAGACAAGTGTCGTTTTGGTCTTCCACATATTAAGTCTCTCGGATTTGTTATATCCAGCGCAGGCCAGCAGCCTGACCTCACAATCAGAAGCAAGTACTCTCCTGGGTACAATCTTCTCCGGATCACGGTCTTTCTGATCACGGCTCAGCCTTTGAATCAGCGAAGTTCAAGCGCTTCATGCGCCTACACAGCGTGGAGCTCCACTACTCCTCAGCGTACCGGCTTGAAGGTAATGGCCTTGTAGAGCGGAGCGACGGAACACTCCTCACAGTGCTGCGCAAGCTTAGCGCATTGGAACCCTTGGCATGGCCCACCAAGCTACACGAAGCTGCCTTTGCCGTTAACACGTCAGTTAATTCGAGCACAGGCTTCTCGCCTTTTCAGTTGTTGTTCGGCTACGTACCTAAGCGGGAGGCCCGGAGGCGGCTGCGGCGGCTCGATCTTGTGGATTGTGTTTTCGGCGCGGCCGGCGGACAGTAGAAATTTCTTACCACCGCCGGCCGCAGCCGTTTCCCTGTGTCTGAGGTGGCCGCTGCCGTTCGCTGCCGTCCCGGTTTATGTGTCCTGGCTGGTCGCATCGAAAACAACGGGGCGTGGCCCGCCCGTCGGCTTCGTGCGGTGTCCCGCTTTTTCTTGCCTCTCCCAAGCTCCGCGTTACCGGTCAAGAGGACAAGAACTCGTCTTGACCAATGGAGGGGCTGTAGCGTTGTGAATGCGTGCCCTCATAACCGCTGCAACTCCGGGATTCGTATGCACGAGATATCTAGGGCTCGTGATTCGTATGCACGAGGATCTGGGGTTCGGGGGACGGACGCCTGATTGGAATCGTCTTGTTCTCTCTCGACTCTATGTACACGTGCGTTTCCAGACCACGCAAATGGTGGTTCCAGAGTCATGTTCTGCGGTGGAGAAGGGCGGTATCTTAGTTCCGCGAGGATGTCGGCCTGGATGGTGATCGCCTCCCGTGCCATCTCGTCTAAATTCGTGAAGGTACGTATACCCTGAGATGGGGACGGAAACGCGGGTGGCTTTGGCGGATGGCGCGTTGTACTTTCTCCGCGTCCGGTGCCGCGGCGTCGGCGATATCGTACGGGCCCTGGAGAGCCCTTACAAACTGAATAAGTGACTCTTCCGGGTGCTGTGTGCGCGCGCGCAGCTCGTCCCTCATCCGCATGCTGTAATCCGGAGGCAGGAACTCCGTCCTAAATCGCGACGAAAATAATCCCTGGAGAAGGGAAACAAAGAGACAAAGGACAAACACAAAACTCCAAACACAGCTAGGTGACTGGTGAGCGACCGAAAAAATCCGCCTGGTCCGGGTATCGAACCCGGGACCTCTCCATTACAGGTGGAGCGCTCTACCAATTGAGCTAACCAGGGGTTAGACATCAGTAGAGCAAACGGGTTTTATCATTCTTTCGTCATTCTTGTCCAGCTCGCTTGCCCCTTTGCATTTAATTGCATTATAACTAAATCGCGCCTCGAAATCTGACATACTTGTGAATTTTGTTTATCTTTGCCTCCATAGTGCTGCACTGTCTGTCAGTGCAACCGGCAAAAGGCGGGTGAGGATGGTTTCGTCGTCAATTCTCGACGCAGCTTGTTAGTCCCGCAGTTCCGAGACGAACATCGCGACTGACTTTCTATCTGCGTACCCCGAAAAAACCGGAAAGCTAAGCGAGAGCCTTAGGTAGTCCCTGGGGGAGCGTGCTTCCAGCAGGAGTGGTGCTTGGGCGCATCATCTGCTCTCGTTGTATGTGAAGAAGCATGGTCATGGCCACTCTTAATTCTGCTAGACCACCCTCTGATGATGCGCCTGCCGGGACTGAGACTGCAGGCTTAGCGTACGGTTTTATGTCGCTGGCGGCGTTATCTGCGAGTGCACCGAGCGTCAAAAGGTCGTCCTCACTGACGTTTCTGTCGACGTCCTCTGTAGACAGCATTGTGTTGTAGTGGAGGCTTCCGCAGGTCAATGAACTTAGGCTTGCAAAGAAACGCCCCCTCAACTGTGGGCAAACTCAGGAACGCAAAATTGACTATGCAAAACGTAAGAACGAACCCAGTTTGCTGCCATCCTCCCAGACGAGCAGCATATCACGTCTGGGCGCCAGTGTGGGATTCCCTTGCTGCTACCCGTCTCGGAGAGCGATACAGCACACCGGTTCAACAACACGTAAACATTTAATGACCGCTATCGCCTGCGCCGCGATCCCAACAGCCCCCGCGCATCCGCTGCGACGGCCTTTTATCAGAGGCGGAGCGCCGCTCGCGTGGCCAGTTACCCTTGGCCCCCTCGTGGTCAAGAT